CTTCACAAAGAGTTTAAGGAATCTTTGTCTCCTCGCTGAACCGTCACACCTCAGCAGCCAGCCTCCTTCAGGGCTCTCCCTTTGGCTTCCTCATTAAAACCAAGGCTGGCGATGGCAAGAGGGACATCTGGTATGTGGCTAATGGTAGATTAATGCTCCGTTAACATTGCCCATGGGTGCACACGATGGAAGCAAGAGCAGAGCTATATTTTGGGGACTGGATACTGCACTGACTGAAGTTATTGCAGCTCTGCAGAGCTCAATTCACCCCAGCTGAGAACCTGGCCACCTTGGGTCTCCCTGACATTTTGCACAGCTCAAAGTTGAGCTCACCAAGTTCATTCCTGGCCCTGCATGCCAGGTTCCTTCACTTACCTACATGGAGGGAGTCCTTCAACCCTGGTCTTTTCACAGTGACTGCACAGAAGGGGAATTTACAGGAGAGAGAACCACTTTACTTATTCCCTTTCCTCCCAACATGTTTATCCACTCCTGCCCCACCTATTATGACAGGCTGTTTCAATCAAAATCACCCCATATGGAAAACAGACATGATGATACAGGATATGCACCATGTCACAAGGCCTTCCACTGCAAAACTTAGAGTAGCTGGAAACAAGGTGAAGGAACAACAGGAAAAAAAACCCAAAACATGTCCCAAAAGATACGTCCTGACAAGCACGACCCCAGGGATGGGAAAGAAAAGCAGCAGAGACACCTCAAAGGGAAACAAGGAGTTCCTTCAAGGGTGCTCTGAGGAGAACAAGGGCCAGAAGAGTGGTATCTGGCAAATTTAGGTAAACTTAGCAATATTATAAACCCAATTCATAGGCTTAGATCAGCTCATTTACTCCTTTGACAGTCGGTCCAATTCAGAGCTATGCATCTGCTGATCTCTGGGAGAAATGGGTGACAAAGAAGCTCTTCAAGATCTTCTCTGGCGCTGGTGTCACCTGGGTTAGAATACCACAGGAACTGGCACACGGAAATACTCTTCTGATCCCACCACAAGCAAACATGTTGGAGCTGCCTGCAGGGAGCTGTCTTTCTAGGGGCCGGTGAAATCTAGGGCTTTTCTTGTTCTCTTTTCTAATCCTTGTTTGTCCTGACACCCTTTTGCATTATCTGCAGCTGATGGCAGCCGTCGACTGCTGTAGCCAGTGCCAGGTGTGTTAGGGCCACATTTGACTTGCTGTTACACCAGCAGATGATTTATCACCAAACCTACTCTAGCTGGGATAAACAGAGATCACAGGAGGATAGAGATATGTCTTACCATGGTTTTACTTCTTCTTTTCCCCTTTCCTTTTTTTTTTTTTGGGGGGGGGCCAGCTGGTAAATTACTATTTTGGGATTTATGCATATGTGGGGGGGAGGAGGGGGAGAAGAGAACATAATCAATTACTTTGCTTAAAATGATCAAATTATTATCAACAGCACTTTAAAATCCAGTTTGTAGCACATCACACCCTGGACACAGGTTGCGTGCTCTTCTGTTGAGTGTACTGTCTATCAGTTTTGGTTACAGCACGGTTGGGAAATGCATGTGAAACCCTTTTGTTCCTTTTCTAAAAATTTCAGCGTAGCATTTGCTGGCAGAACAATTGACATATGGTGAGACATTCTTATCCAAATAACTGTTAATTGCTTTAAAAAAAAAAAAAATCGAAAAAAAGAAACCATCCATATGCAGTAGAAAATATAATGAGGGCTTACACAAGACACGGTGTGAAGTTGTTAAAGCCAGGAGCCGTATTTAAAGATGCCTTGAACACAGAGTGCCTGGTATCCTCTGTCACTTGCAGGCTTGAGGAAATATCTGTTGCCCACCCACACCTGAAGGTCATATTTACAGCACTGATTTTGAGGTGCACGAAGCCAACTGGGAAAAAGCAGGACTGATTTGGGGTGCTGGCTGTTTGAGGCCACACGTGTTATTCACGTGTAGGACCCACAAAGGGGTATGACACAACGTAGGCTGGTCACGGTTTAGCTTTCCCATGCCAGAGAGAAAGGTAAAGGACAGAGCCCAAAGGGCCGAGCCACGGGAGATCCCAAGGTATTGGGATGATCGAGTAAATGCACGAACTCTGCTTCCAGCGTGCACTCAAGGGAATCCAGCCAGTGCCTCTTCCAGCAGCCAGGGTTTGGACATGGTGACCTGCTGGTGGGTGCTGGCAGTGGCCAAGCCTGGAGGCGGGCAGTGCACAGGGCTGTCTCTATTGATATTTCTGAGATTTTGGAGCACCTAGTCTTTCAGATCCCTAGCACAAGAAGGGTGGTTGTTTAACAGTGTGTGCAGATTATAATCCTTTGTGGCAGTACGTGTTCTTGAAGCAAATCTCCATTTATATCCTAGGGAGCAGTTTTAAAAACAAGGCAGGGGAGGACAAGAAGAAGCTGGCTCCCACAGGTTGCCTGCAGTCAGTACCGTAACTGGGAAAGAAGATAAAGATGCTAGAAAAGGAGTGGGCCTGGAAACAGGCCGCTGATGATATGATGCCGGAGCAAAAGAGATCCAAGACAAGACAGGGACTCATGGTTCAGAAGAAATTCTTGTAATTGCAGGGATAATTGCAAAACATTGTTAGAACTGGGAAGTTATGTTTCTTTCCAACAGGCTTACAGAACAAAATGCAATGAAGAACAAAGTGAAATTAAAGCAAAGAGTCGCTTCCCCAAAGCTCCCTCCCTCCCAACCCGTGGAGCATCTCTGTGTGCTCTTTTCTGCCAAGAATGATGCCGTAAGGATGTCAGCGCCTGCCCATCGGGTTTCCTCAGGTCTCTCCTCTCCTGCATCCTTCCTTCACCACAGCAAGGGAGAGAAAAGAGAAAAAAAATTAAAAAGGCAAAATTTCAGATGTCTGCACAGAACTCAGGTCTCATCTTTCCAGCACAGATGCCTACGGTTTCTCCTTCTGTCACACTCGCAGCACGTGTATGTGTCACACGGTTAATATAGAACAGCCACTATTATCTCTATGGCAAACTGGCTGCACTCATTAGGGTTTCTTGGTTTTCCATAGCACTGTGCTACCTAGCTCAGTGTCAGAGGCTCCCAGCTCTGCTGGGTGCTTCAGTGCTAGACCACAGAACATATCCTTAAAATGCTAACCATCAGTTTAGTAAACATCCCCAGTAAAGGGATCTCCTCAGCTCTGGAAGACCCTAGCAAGACCCTTTGAAATTTAACAGGGTGATCAAACCTCCCCAGGTACTTGCTCCTTGCAATTAAAACAGTGACAGCACCATCGGGAGGGCTTTGACAGAGAGCTGTGAAGGATTTCATGCCTGCTTCTAATCACGCGCGTGCCATCAAAATGCCGGGCAAGACATGGTGCGCCTCAGCTCAGGCTCTTTTGCTTCAGAAAGGTGCTGGCAGAGCCAGGCCTTGCAGTGGAATTGAAGGGATTTAGTAATTAATTGCTAATTGTGGTATTATTCCTGTGAACTCTGCCTTCGTAAAGAAAAAAACACTCCAGCCCAAAACATTCACAGATATTCTTTTCCATGGGAGAATGCAGCATGAAACACAGACTTCCTACAGACTGCATGAAAGTGGTACTAACTGTCAGATGTCTTTTTTTGAGCCAAGGAAGGGTATTAACCTTTCTGTGTATTTTTAACAGTGAGGATTTCATTGGTTCCTCTTCCTTTTCTGATTGAACAGAACATACAACCAGAAGCTAGGGGGGGGAAGGAAGAGCTGTGGCAGACATATTTTAATGGCAAGGGCGCCTTCTAGTTTTGGTTCAGTATTTTTTCCCAGGGATCCCATCAGGCCTGTTTCTCACTCCAGCAGTAAGGCAGCACATCGTCTATACGCTGACAAGGACAAATGGCTACACTCAGTAACGAGACCTTGTATTTTAAATCTCTGTGATACAGCTGCCGCCGTTGTAAAGCCACCATATTTGGTCCTGAGCTACGTGAAATCCCATTACAAGCATAAATAACACATCTTGTTGTATGTGATATTGTCATCTCATAGAATCATAGAATAGTTTGGTTGGAAAAGACCATCACGATCATCTAGTCCAACCGTAAACCTGGCATTGCCAAGTTCAGCACTAAAGCATGTCCCCAAGCACCACATCTACATGTCCTTTAAATACCTCCAGGGATGGTGACGCCACCACCTCCCTGGGCAGCCTGTTCCAATACTTGACAACCCTTTCCGTGAGTAATTTTTTCCTAATATCCAACCTAAACTGATAACCCTACACTGAGGAAGCACATTAAAAGCTTAAAAGTAGCTAAAAAACTACTTCTGAGGGAGAAATGGCAACTGCTTCTCGTAACTGAGGATGAGCATCCGACTTCTGTATTCCTACCAAATTGTTCACTTTTATCTAGGGCCAAGGCTGCTTACGCCTGTGAAGAACTTTGCAGCAACAAGCACCATTGCAGGCTCTGGCCACAGCACTAGCATTTAGTGGATAAAGCCATAAAAAAGCTCCAAAATGCGGCAGAGCTCCAGGAGGCAGCTCGCTGACTTTGCCTTGTTTTTCAGTGGTATTGCTACAAGTGACATTAGGCATCGGAAAGCCAAGGGCAATAAACCCCTCGTGACGTGAACCTGTTGTTCTCAGAATACAGATTGTACAGAACTGAGCTCGGTTCCAACTGGTATAAATTGCCTGTCATTTTCCTAAGCAATGCCAAAAATCGTTCGCTCGGTTACTCTTCCGTTCCTTATCTCGGCGCTGTCTTGCCTTCTGATGATCTAAGACCGTGCACTGTCTAAATCCATTACAGTTGCAGACTGCTACTATAATATTTACTTGACAAATCAAGTCTATTGGATATTTTCATTTTTTGGTGTAATACGGGTCATATCAGACAATTTATTTTCCTTTGTATTCTGTCTTCCTCTTTTTTTATTTTTTTTTTTTGTAAATTCTAACTTTAATTAAGGTAATTTTTAAAGCAAGTTTTCAAATAAAAACTGAATGGAAAATGGGGGAGGTGGAAATAGCCATAAAGGTCTTACCTGTTACTTAAGCTTCCCGCTCTGTTTCCATAGGATCATTTATACTTTCAACTTGACTATTCATTTCAGCTGAAAACAAAAGGAGACAGTCATCAAATTCTATTCAGGATTCTTGTTAAGTTTATCATGTCAAGTAATAACCTCTTCTAACCCGAAGGGGACATTTATGGCATTAAAAATTCTACCTCGTAAATCCACAGAAAGGTCTCTCAGGCCAGCCATGCTACCCTGTGGTTACACAGGAACCCTGAGCAGCGCTCCTGCCAGGGTGCAGGCTTCAGCATCACTAGAAACGCAGACCTCTGCATCTAGATCTTCCCTTTGGTCTGCACCCTTCCAGTTTGACTTTGGCACCCAACCGAGGTGCCCAGCTCAAGATCTCAAGGACCCTCCTCTGTCTCTGTAGGCCACAGGCAGAGACAGAAGTATCTCCAAAGGGTGATTTAGAGTTTCACTGGGCTAAGTGGTCTCCATCCTGTGATTCAAACACCCACAGGCTTCTGACAAAGTCCCCGGCAGGACCTAGGGCTGAGGTCTGGGCCAAACGTGGATCCATCTCCAGTCACAGAGATGCTGCTGCTTCCAGTTGTCCTTGAACTGCAAATTGCTGGCACCTAGGAGAGGATTCAGGGGCAACAACACTATGCTCCTACAGATACCAGCTTGCTCGTGTACTATCCATTTACAAAACCAATCTTTTTTGTTTTTTTTTTTTTCATTTAAAACTACTAAAAAACCCCAAGAAATAATTTAAATAAATAGAAGGCTTAAACCCATTTCAGCGTGACCTGTGTCAAAAAGCTCATCTAAACTACAGCAGGTATGACTGGTCCAATCTGGGCTAAATATAAAAGGGTTACTTCAGCGTGTGCATTTTTAATATTAGTATTTAGTATTTGTGCTGTGACTAATTTGAATGGAGCCACTTATATTAATACTTTTTTTTTCTTTCTTTAACCTTGCTTTACGTTGTGGTATCAACTGCAGATTCCAAGTCATTTGATGTGGGTGACGGGGAAAAACCTCCAACGTGAATGGGAGATTTGGAAACTAAGGGAAGATGGGAGAGGGGCGGGGAAAAAAAAGCCAAAAATCAATAACTGTGTAACTTCCAGCCAGGCAGTACGATCTCTTTCTAAGTCAATATCATGTCAATAAACCTGTTCGGGTTTTGAGGAACCATTTGTAAATTATTCATCATCCATATGCAGAACAGATAACATAATGGCTTCCTGGATGTATGCAATGAATAATAAGAAAAGTATCCGCTCCTGATTACAGAGCTGTGATGCACATCACATTTAGCGACGCTGTGTTTTTTACACGCATTTGCATAGCAAAGACAGGATGCTTAATAAAAACCATTAAGGGAAGGCTGCTGTGCGCTGACGACAGCAGCCTTTCTCAGCCTCTTTATGCCAGCCAGTTTTCTGAAAATACCATGAGGCTTCACTCATGTTTTACAGAGAACTCCTGCAAAACCAAAGCTTGATTGGAAACCTCAGCTTAGGCTCCGTCAGCATCCCAGATGAGTACACCTCCTTCCCCTTCCTTTTTTTATGGCTGCAAGCAGTTGATCCCTGTCCATCATGCTGATAGTGGGGAGGTGGCTCACAGACATTAAGGCACCGGAAGGTTTCACTATTAACTTCTTCCTATATGTCTGTGACTAAGCTCAGCTCTTCACGCTAATGCTGGTAAGGACAGGAAGATCTAACTGAAGGAAAAGCTTCTGCAGACCACAGGGTGAACCTCAACAACAGGTGTCACTACCAGGCCACCTACACAATCCTCTATATTTAGCTGGAAAATCACGCAGCAGTGAAGAACCTACCGCAAGAGCAGATGGAAAAGCTGCCACCGGGTATGGCAGAGATGTGACTCACAGCCCTCGTGTCCTCCCAGCATGAGCTGGTGTCAGAACAATGTCATTAACCCTGAGTGCACTACATCCAATTGCATCACAAGCCAAAACTGGCCCCCTCCTCACTAAACAATGTTTTTAGAGGTGTTCAACTGCTAAATTACATTAGCAGTCTTTTTGCATATACTGTAAGTCAGCAGCTCAGCGATGCACCTGAACTTCAAGGAGGCTGCACATCTCCTAAATTCAGTTTTACCTGCTCCCCCTTCTGCAGCATTGGACATTTCTGTGCAATGGAAATGCACATTCCTCTGCCCTCTCCCTATCTGTTTTTCCTTCAATTTTGGCCCAGTGGGGAGCATCTGTCTGCACCTCCTCTCTCAATCTGTGAGCTGCTTAGCACTTCTCAAATTATGACCAGGGAAGGATTTCCCTTCAAAAGCAAGCAAGTTCCCTGCAAGAGGAGAAGAAATAACCCAGCAAATAGTTCACATCCATCAAAGAGCTGCAGTTGCTGCTGAGCCGGTGGACATGCGTTGGCAGCAAGGCATCCCACCTCTCCCCTGCAAGAAAGCTACGTGCTTAAAGGTCAGCTAGCCAGGAGTCACAGCGTAGCATCTAAGTAGAGAAGACAGGCAAACAGGAGATGAGAAAACCAAGTTTAGAGTTGTCTGTGAGAGCATGAGTGCATTTCCCCACCCCAGGATATTATGCTGTATATCTGGATGGTAGATGACACCTAAATCTTACTGTCTCCATTTAAATAGGAGCACAGTCAGACTCTTACTTACAAACATAACCTATTTCTTCAGCCCCTTCCTAAACAATGTTTCCCCCTTGCATCCACATAACTTGGCTACATCACATTCAGCTATAATTCCAGGCTACTTAGAAAGAAAACCATCTACCTTGAATTCAACCCACTGTGTGGTGATGAAGCACGTGCACCCGTTTACTTGGTAGTGACTTGTTTCTTGGATATTACATCAACACTATAAAAAGCATGAGGGTGTTAACTGTTGAGATCTTCCTTTTATATCGCTTTGGTGAATCACATGAAGGTCAGGTTGCTGATGGTGCATTCATCAGCCTGCACAAGCTTATAAAATAAAAATGGGACATTTCAGGTTTGACACTGCCTTCATCTTTTTGTTTTCTCCTATTGTATCAGCATGTCAGCATGCAGCTTTCTACAGGCTTGAAATAAAAAAGGCCAATGAGTAACCCCATTATGAAAGGACTGAAGAGTTTGATCCACCTGATACCAGCTGGAAACTAACATCTACCACAGTAATCTTTAAAGCTTTGGTGATGAAAAAAAAAAAAAGAATACAAAAAGGCTGCTGGTAGGGAAACACCATCTAGGAAACCAATCACCAAAGGTGGGGTTTGTCACCATTAAAAAATACTAATCAGCAAATCTGTCCTGGCTACAAGAAATTTAATATCCACAGGTCTTCACTCTGGTGTCTGACGGGAGATTGCCAGTAGCAACCTGTATCTCTGTATACACGTCCCTGCTCAGGCTTACACACACACCCTCTGACAGCTTTCCCGATGGAGAATCACGCCCAGCTTTCAAATAATAGTAATTTCTGAAATGTATCACTATTACAGCCCTGCCTACTAGATGAACCAATATCGAGATCCACCTAAACTGTCTAAACTCTCCGTGTTTCTAAAATGCTTTTTGCTGTGACATGGTACATGAAATTAAAACATAAGAGCCAGGCTGCCAAGGGGTACCTGGTGAGACACGCTTGTGCTTTCAGCTGTGAAACAATGAGCTCTCCTGGGGCAGAAGGAAGGGGACCAGAGATGAAGTAGGCAATTTACCTAAAAATTACTGTCAAAGGGAACCCTTTTCAGTTTTTTTGATCTCAACTAGTACCCAATACATTTAAAAATTTTAGGGCTTTTTTTTCAGCAAAACTTAACCCTTCAGATAAAATACAGCTGGGGGAATTTGATCCTTCCTCTGTTCCAATTTTTTTAAACATGTAATATATGTCCATGAGAAAAAAAACACCGTGTAATATAATCCCAATAGCAATTTAAGCTTTAGAGAAATGAAGACTTCCTTGAACAGCAGAGTACTTTTCTGCAGCTTTAGTCAACAGCCTTTTTCTGTCTTTCCATATAACTTAGAAAGTTCACAGAAAAGGAAGTTACGAGATGAGTTAATATGTAGAAGACCTTACAAGATAAGCAAGATTTGAAACAAAGAAACCTATCAAGATCATAATTTCAGAAGCTGTCAGCAGATCCAGCTGTGCTGCACTACAGCACGTGTTACAAGAGGTATACGATAGCTTTTCTTTCCAGTGGGAAATCCCTTGAGATATTCTTTCAGTAAATTTGGATTTATTTTCACTAAGTAGCCCAGACCATTCCAGGGACTCAAATATTTTAATGTGACTATGACTTTTTGGTTTGTTTGTTCAGAGGATGAGGAGAGAAGGCTGGTTTGGCTTTCTTCTGCACACTTACTAGTAAAAGCATAGTATCTAGCATTTTTAAAAAAAGAAAAATCCATTATGCACACTCTCTTTTCCTCTGCTTGCAAAAACTGCCCTACAAGCCAGTATCTAAATCAGCCAATGATTCAAACACTGCTGCACAATCTGACATGAGAGAAAATAAATCAGCATTAGGTTCTTTGCGTAACTAATAGCAAAAACTATATAATTGTTTTGGTTTTGGGATGTAAAAAAGTATGCCTTGAATTTATATTATGACAATGCTGGAGAGGTTAAAGGCGGAGTTAAAAATCAGCCTTTGCTACAGAGAGGAGTCCGCGATAATATAACAAGGACCTGAACTCCACTTCCAAACGCAGTGCTGTTTGGAGCTGTAAAGAGGACCCTTTGTGTAAAAACCAAGAGAACCCTTTACGTGGCTCTGTTAAGCTGTAAGAGCCGATCTAGAGGCATGATAAGGGCCTGCCTCACCAAAACCTCAGCACACTGATCCCATCCATTATTTCTTTACACAGACAAAGAGCCTAGAAGGACAATTTTTTTTGTTTACGAACATGTTCGGCACTGCAGAGCTTGAGGAGTGTCCTGGTACTCAGCCCTTGCTGGGACTCTGCCAGACAACTGAGCTGGGTCATCTGCTCACTGAGGTTAATGTAAAAAAAAAATAAAAATTCATTTCCAAGACAGGAAATTTGAGTTGATAATGTCCACAAACCTGACCGGAACTGCTGTTGGGCCACCAAACAGTGATAGTTTTATCAGTAGTAAGTATTCTAGGGAGATAACTTCCATCTGCTACCAAACTGAGCTACATATGGACTCTGAAGGAGGAGGAGGAAGAGAAATCAGCTTTGAGGTAGAAGGAGGCCAACATATGAGTTCAGAGCAGTTATACAACCAACACTTGCCCCATGGTGGAGTCAGTTACCAGCACAGACATTTTCAACAATATCTTCTGACTCCTGTGTGAGACCACACACATCTTGGCCAATTTGATATCCAGACCAACATTACAGTAGGCCTAAAATATTGTTTTATTAAAAGGCAAGCAGATTGACCATACTAATTGAACACACAAACCCAATCAACTAGAAAAGCAGGATTATGGCACTGAAAGGTACCAGGCTTCCAAGACAGTAGAGATTGACACTCCCAAGAAGACTCTGTTAAAGAGATTATAAATATAACTCTTATTTTTTGGGGGGAAGCGTACAAACAAACCCCAGAAAAGCATGCTACCTATCCATTTCAGGACAACCAAAATATTAGAAAAACATACCGTCCTTATTTGAAACGTCTGCTGCTTCACATGGGAGGTCAATTTTCATAGGCTCCGCAGAAGCTTCCTCTAAAAAAAATCCCTGTAAAACAAGTCAAAGAAGTAGGAAAAATCATTACTTGCAGGAAAGTCTAATTCTCAGACTCCATATGCTTGTTTTTCTTCTGGCATGCTCTTAACTTTATAGACTCTGCTGCTGTGTAGTGGCAGCCATTAGAGAAAAGGGCAGAGGACATAGAGGGAGGAACATGGTTTGAAAATAATTGCTTGAATATTTGTAGCAATCTGCACTCTTTTCTAACTGGGATTGTTAAAAGCACATCATGGTGTGTGCTTCTGCCTCCCTGCCATTCTTTTCTCATCATTTGTGAAGAATCCCTTCTGCTCAGGAAATGCAATATATGATGGGTACCCAATCACACAAAGTTTTTCTAGCTAGCAGAATAAAAATAGGTACAGTGAGAGTTCAAATATATGGGGTAGACAGACACAAACTAGAATTTGAATTTAGGAAAATGCATTTTATCACTCAACATTTTTATCTCGTCTGCCTCAGGCTTGTCTGGAAGCTTAGATTCAATCTCCTAACAATATTTGAAATGGAAAAGAAAAAAAAAAGTGGTTTTGCTATTTAGTACACAGTTGTCCTAATATTCTGCTGTTTAGAGTGCTGAGGAGCCAGGTTTTAGTTAACTTCCATCACGCTACTTCTCCACTTTTGTGGCTGCTAGAAAGCCTGTTGCACCTATCCTGTGGTTGAACTACAGGATGGCAGGCTACTGGTTGCTAAGCGATCCAGACATTTGGGTGGTTATTATGAGACAGCAAAGCGTAGTAAGGACTGAGACATTTCAGAAACGGTTTACTCTTGAGCTGAAATAATTTACCTCTTCTGCAACAGAGATGAAACGTTCGTCGTCCCACAAACACCTCCTTCCTCTTTCTGAGGAAGTCTAGAGTGGGTTTTTTTAAGTACACTTGAGTGCACTACATTTATTTTGTCCACAAACACGTATCTACCCACTGAAGTTTTCAGTTTTCCTTCTACCTGAAAGTCAATACACTGTCACGGAGATTTTTGTTTCCTTTGTGCTTGCTATGTTGGCAATGTTGTTCTCAGAGGCAACTTCCAGTGCACTACGTAAGGTTTTACCAAACACCAAAATACTAAAACAAGCACCCAACTCATACAGAAATCAACAAAAAATAGCCAGCTGAAAGCTCAATTAGCCATCTCGGCAAGCATGGGGGAAAGTGCGATGGAAGACTTTACAGTGATGGAATTTTAATATTTTAATATATTTTAATGTATCTTCAACTGCAGAAATCCTTCAGTAGATTGTCATATCACCAGCTCCTCCTCCTCATCACTTTAAAATCACCTCCCCATACAAACAAACAAAATGCCTATAAACATCTGTGAGCCCCACATGTCAGTGAATGCCTGAGACAGCCCCTTTGTGGATGCATCAAATTCCTGATGCTTCTCCGCATAACTCCGGAGAGCGAGCGTGTGGTTTTCTCCTGAGGTGTCTTACGCACCATCAGGCCTAAGCTTTCCCAGCGCTCACCCACAGCTCACAGAAAGGATAAACCTAGGTCACCCCATCACAGAAGTGTGCCCACATGACAGGAACTGTCTCAAGGCTGAGAGGTATGTTCAAAATTTCAAAATCAGAATGAATATTGGGTGACTATGAAAGCACTGATTAATCAAGGAAGATACAGTGAAATTCAGGTTGTGCTACATTTTGATTAGCTGGGGAAAGAAGATATATGAAAAGCAAAATTTTGTAAAATCAGCTGTCCCACCACGAGTGCAGCCTGCAGTGGACACAGCCCTTCCTACCAAGACAGTCAGATGTCTGATGTAGGGATTTGGGATCCCTGCTAAATACCAACACACTCCAACTGGCAGCTGATGCCTCAGAATCCAACTCTGCTGCCTCTAAAACACTGTCTATTAACCGAATAAAGGAGATATGATATGACAGGTTATGTCTTGGCTTCTAGTTTCTGTAACAGCTAGAGATACCTACTCGTTCTCCTGTTGTCAGCTCCTAAAGACGCTTGCGTGAAGTTCACAGACCCTATCCCAAGATCTCCCATTAACGAGCCGGCACGCCTGGCTTCACCATGCTGCCAAAAGGTTTCTCACTTTCCATTTCAGAAATCTCTCATGCAGCTGACAGGTGCAAAGGATTATTGGCACGGTGCTAGGTGAAGATAGAGCCTAATTAAAGAGAAGGCATTTTGTGCATACATGTGTGTATATGTGCACACATGTGCTAATTAGGGCTGCTGTTGCAGGGACAAAAGCAGAAGGTGTCAAGGACCCTCAATACCAAAAGCTAAAGGTTCGTCTCTCGGGGTGAGCAGCCCTAGCGAGGGGCTGCAAAGAGTAACAACAGCAGCAGCATATTTGCAAAATTACTTTTTGAGAGGTTTGGGGCCATCAGCATAGTTAAAAGAGCACTAATGTGTGTTCTGCTTTTTCACCTCCTTTCCAAGTCTGAGTAGGTGATTCCCCATCTCTTCTAAGAGGGTATTATGGTTGTATCGGGGCTTTTTATAGTGTATGTAGATTGCTGGATATTGTCAGCAAGAAAATGATAGTGGGAAACAACATTCAGGGGCAAAGAAGGCAGAAGATATTTTAAACCTTAACAAAGCCAAGCACCACCACAAACCTTGGGAGGAGGCTTGCACATTATATCATCCCATTTGTGGGAAGACTTTCAAACTTAGGTAATATAAATCTTCATTTCGTCCCTCACTATGATTGTGGGTGGGAGACAGAAGCATTCACTGTACTGCCATGCAAGTGGAAAGGGTATTATCCAAAAAGCTTTTTCCCCGCCGTGCAGTAAAACCGAGTGCCACGCAGAAATGAGCCCATTTCACATAAACAGCAGAACTCGATCAATACCAGAACTGACTTGACAACCAATTTGTTCTAGAGGCCTCGGCTCACCCCCTTGTTTTGATTCTTTCAGGTTAGAGCACAAACAAGTGAGGTATTTTGGGTATTTTGAGCAGGAGCTGAGAGTCACGGAAGGGGAGGGAGCCGGGGAGATACCACTTTCAATTTCAATTACCATTTCCAATTGTGCTCCTGACAGAGCTCATTACCTGAACCCTTTGCAGGCTGGTTACACAACCAGCCCAGCACTAAGAGACAACAGGCTTCCTGCGTGGGCAAGGATGGCTCCTAGCCTTTCGAAATGTGTAAGACAAAGATACACCAGGAAGATAGAAATCTCTGTACTGTTATTTCTTCTTCTTTTCTCCTTTATGTCGCAACCTGTCAATAGTTTCATGTGGTTACAGCTAATACACTGTTCTTTCCCGAGAGAAATGTGGTTCTAGATTCATGTATGACTCACAGGATTGACATGAAGATGTTGCCGGTACATTAGCATCAACTTTAAAAGTGTCCGAGTACGGAGGTCAGACATCTATTCTCCACAACCCTGATAAATCCTAATATAAGTCAAAAATGTAACCCTCCTCCTCCTCTCTTTGCACAAGGTTTACATCTATTTCAAGGGATAAAAGCAGGCAACTATGCAGGCTTAGAAGCTGTAACACAGAGCAATCCATAAAACTCATTTTTACCTGATTTTTACAAGGCTTTGCTGTGTACTGCAGAGCGCCTTTGTAATCAGGAGAGAGAGGCAGGTCCCTCTCCCAGGTAATTCAAAGCAAAATCCCAATGTAGTCTCCCTAGAATTGATGAATCATTCCTGGAAGGTGCCTGAACTGGGTTTCTGCTCTGAGCTGCCCATCTGAAGGGAGTTTATTTCTTTTTCCTGATCCTCCAGGGAGCCTGGGAGATCGGGCTCTCTCAGCAGAGCCCAGCCTTCAAGACCAGCATTGGCAGAGTCCTCGCACCCGCTGTGGGTAAGGGGTTGCCAAGTGGGCTCTGAATCAGGAATCTGTATTTCTGCTCTTAGTTCCTAGCTTGTTATAAGGTCGCAGACTAGCTTTAAGATAAAACAGAAAAACAGATTTCATGCATACATGAGTTCTGTCAGCACAATCAGGCAACGCCAAGATAACTTAAATCTTAAAAATTCCTCAGTTTTAGACGTCTCACAACTAAGTGGGAAATCCTGGCCCTAAGATCATTCTGAATGTTTGAGGAAGAAAAGAGTTATCAATAATATAACACTCCAGATGACTCATACATTTTTACAGGTAAAATGGCAAGGTCATTATTCCTGTAATATCTGCCCAGCAATTTTGGGTGTTGCCACAGGAATTCCAATAAAATACCATCCTGCCCATGGACAACTTGCAACCAGGGGAAATTCATTAGTCATCCATTATTTGTAGAGCAGTTGCTTCTACTCATGTTATACACTTTGAAAAGATCACCTCTGTCATTAAGCAATGAAAACCACATTGCAACTATTCGGAATGATCCAGATTTCCTTGACTTGTATCCACTGAATAAAATTTATTATTTTGAGTTTAGCTGTAAATATGATTCCTCCAATTGGGAGACTCTGAGAAAGAGTCTCATAAAAATCCAAATTTCTCTGCTTAAAATTTGAAGGCACCAGTTTTCATCTGCAGCAACAAAAAAGACAGACAAAGCTTTTCTGACCCACAGCTGCATTGTCTTATCTGTCAAAACCAGTTCCATTTTTCTTGCTCTGCAAATAGCCAGAGCTGTTTTTTTTTTCCTTCTTCCCAGCCATTTCACTGTAGCTTTGCTGATGTGACTGTCAAGCCTTCATGTACTTTGTTTACCGCTGTATTTTAGTAACATTATAAATGCTGCTTCACTTAGAAACTGAAGCTGTCTGTGATACAAGGGCTCAGTTTGACTCCTGTTTGACACCTCCATCTGGGATGACTGACCCTTTTAACCAGCCCAGATTCTACCACATGAAAGATTTATGCTGTCTTCTTGTATTGCTCTACATGCAAAACCACCCAACCTGCTGCTCTCAGGGCTCTAAAACAAACACAGCAATCACAGTCCATCTGTACTTTGCTATGTTCAAGTCGATGGGCAGTTTTTCCCCTTGCCATCCTTTTACAACGCAAAGGTTGAGCACGACAGTGCCGAGTCTGCAGGAATGGCGCTGCCACAAAAGTACCTCTAGCTATTCAGCGTGGCTTCATTAACAACAAACATCTCCATCTGTTAAATCAGGAATATTCTACCTCGATCAAAAAAACCCCCAAACCCCAGCAATTAGGCACCACAGAGATGAAAAGAAACCTCAAGGATGCAGATTTCAGAGGAGGGTGTGCTGGCCAGGACGCTAGCTTTGCCGGGCTTTTGAAAGCGCTGAGCATCATTTCTTAACGCCACGCGTGGGCTGTCAGGATTCACGTTGCAGCCCCTTCATTGTTAAATGGAGTGTTTACCCTCCCTTTCAGCATTCTGGCTTTGTCTCCCAGAGTGACCCAGTGCAATGAGGCTCCCCCGTCCCTCCAGTGCAGCGTGCATCACGTCAGCTCTCCGTGTTTGTGCACGTAACTGTCCCTAAGGGCATCGCGCTGCTTCCAGCCACTGTTATTTCCAGCTCAAGCTGAACTGCAATTTTTTTTTAATGCGATTTAAAAGTGTTTAAGATCTGCTTATCCCTATCCCCTCTTCCAGTCCTTTATTAAACATACTCTTAGTAAATCTCATTATGCCTCCTTTTCCCTAAAGGTGGGAATGGAAGTGCAGCGAGGATTGTCTCTCAGCAGTACGGTCCATAAGACCCATACAAATTGGGTGTCTCTAAAATCGCTAATGCCCATCAGGAGCTCTTTGTATCTTTTGTCTCTCTGTAACAACAGGATAAACCTGCACACAGCAGGCTCTTGAGGAATACAAGGGCATATCGTTTTAAGGAAAGCCCTTTTTGATTTTTTTTTATTCTGACAAAGCCTTAGCTGCGTAAGAGGTCACATTGCTGTTTTCCAGATGCTCTTTCTGTGAAACCTCTCATCAGAGAAGAAGTCTGCAGCAGGGAATGTCTCACATGGAACATCCAGAAGCTTTCATCACATTCCTCAACCGCTGGCTGTTAACACAACTAAAACGTTGCCTGGTTGTATTCAAACTAGTAGATCACCTGTCCCATCAGCTTCCAAAGCCCTTGTGTTCCATTTCCCTGCCTACAAATGAGGCAGATAGTACGCTCAGTGGTATTAGGAAAAGCAAAGTTTTTCTGAATAGATAGAAATGGCATGATTATTTACCTTTCTTTCCCATTCTGTCATTTTCCTTGCCACCTTCAACCATTTATGAAACTCATAAGAGATTTGGTTCAGTTCCTGATCACTAGCTTCCTGATCCTACAAAGCTGCGGAAGTGTGAGGAATTACAGCACTGGAGGACCCTTTTGTGTAAGCCACAGGAAATCTCCAGATCTCCTAAGGCTTGGCTTTCACCAGGCGGAACAATGTTTGGACATTCACAAACATATTTTCTAATTCCTCAGCCATGGGAGCAAGCCTGCTGAATGACCACTGGCTGACAGAATTATACCCGCACCCTCCACTCCCATCTCAACATCATTTTCTCTGCACACTCACCATGCTCATTACCATGTACCTAGTATGTCTCCAGCTGTCCTTGTACGGCAAATTTAATTCCTCTAATCTAGGGTGAGGACTCAGTCCTTAATTTTGAAGAAGCAATCCAGGAGCCTGATGACTTTAATAGACCTTGCTTTCCCCTTCATCACGAACAATTTAATAGCTCATGCTGCTGCTGGATTTTCCATCAGCACATACTGTGCCCCTATTCCATTTCAATCTTGCATTCACTGTATTTTCTGAGCATTTCAAATGATCTTGAGGCAATCGCAGCAAAGCAATAGACTGTGAAAGCAAAGAGGTCCTGGATCTCCTAAGGAGGCCAGATTTGTCAGAACACTACACTATTTATTTCAGAAAAGGGAAAGAAACTTTCCGTTCCCCTCCAAAGGAGCTGCTCCAAACAGAAGAGATCATGTCAATCCTCAACCCTGAGCAGCTGCACCAGAACTAGGTAGGTGCTAGGAGCACATATAACCAGTGCTGATGAGAAAGAGAAATTGTAAGGAAAGGGTGGGGAGGGAAAGGGTAAGCACATGAGAGGGCACAAACCACAAACTGCCTAACAACTGGAAATTAGAAAAGTCCCCTCTCAACATTCAAAAACTTTCAGACAAACACCCTTGTCTTTTATGAAGTTCCCGCTCCGTGGCTACAGCAGAGAGGATGATGGGGTGAAAAAGCACACCATCCACACAGGACAAAAGGAGGCTTTGCCTGAGTTTCTGGTAACGTATGCTCACCCTTATGGCTGCAACTATTTATTTATAGGGTCACTGCTTCTGAAGGAGATTACCACTAAGTCAAAGAAAAGCCCTGGAAAATATTCTGTTCAATTCTTTTCAAGGAGACCATTGCCAAGTATATGAAGAACGAGCTTCAAAGCAGCAGGGAACAGGGAACAGCAGCAGAAGGGTAAATAAAGAGGGTGTATGGATCTACCTGAAAGGCAGTAACAATATACAGTGTAGGAGAAAGACTTCTTCCTGTTATTTATCCAGAGACCCAAACCTAATTTTGCAACGTAAACCAGAATACTCACAATGAGAGGCACATGAAGTTCCACAGAGTTCTGCTAATAGATATGACCTTACAGGTGCACTGTAATTTTCAGACATTTTGTGATATAAAGATACAACAGCCAGCATGAAAAATAAAAATTAATAAGACAATTCCAAACACCAAAAAAACAAAACTCAAACCAGAGATAGAGTATACAACACACCCCGCTGAAACGTCTTGCTCTTTGGAAAGAGTACTTGCATTTCAACATTTTGTGATATAAAGATACAACAGCCAACATGAAAAATAAAAATTAATAAGAAAATTCCAAACACCAAAAAACCAAAACTCAATAAAAATCTGGATAACCAGAGGTAGAGTATACAATACACCCCGCTGAAATGTCTTGCTCTTTGGAAAGAGTACTTGCATTTCTAAAGGTTCATCACCTCCTGACTGAGCACTCTGTTTTAATTGTTAGAAACTTGTTAGCTTCCTAAAACCAAGCTGAACATAATATTTAACTCATTTGCTTGAAAAGAAGTAGTAATTGGCAGCACTCACTAACAAAGACCTTACAGATGATATCACATCTTTTCCCCTTACCGAGACACATGTTCAACAACGATCATTTTTCAAAAACAATTACAGAACTGTAGCATTTTTTTTTGTCTGTTTGTTTAACTGAGCTCGGCTCTGACTCCTTCAAGGCCAAAACTTTACAGTCAGCTTTAACTACATGGTGATAAACACAAATCTGCTATAAAGGACTAATTTTGCTACTGAGCTCCTCATCTGTTCCAGTTCTCAGGGCTGTTGTTTTGGACCTGGATGGTGACTCATCAAAGTATAACAGATGTTTAAATAAAACACGGAGGCACACTTGTGTGTATATTTATATTCAAAGGCAGTAAGCAATTTTTCATAAAGAAATGGCTGGGAGTTGTTTTCCCTCTGTAAAGAAGGGAATAGCCGAGTGATCGATGGTGGTGCTGGACACGTTACCCAAGGTGATGATCCCCTTTCTTCTTGAGAAGCACCATGTGCCCTGTGGAGAAAAGCCATCGCTGAAATCTGGCTTCTGGAGATTTGTGCGGCTTTCGCTGTCAGAGGATGTCATTAATGCTGATTGCTGCCCCCATTTCTCCAGTGAAAGCCTGGCATCCTCCTCTACAGCAGTGAGTGAGCCAACACCAGCCAGCCTCAAAGGAACAGGAGCGAAAACAAACATATTGCAAGTGCTACATTACCTCCTAAGCATGGATGCCATGTTTAATTTCTACTCATAACTGGAGGAATGCAAGAACAAAAGTTTACAACGATGACATGAAATAAGATGTTTCCCCAGGAAATAACAGAACTACATCAGAGCAAGGGGTGGTCTAACCTCCAGCTGCCCTATGCCAGCAGACAATAACCACATTCTCCTCTGAACACAGAGCATAAGCTATGAGAGGACCAAATTCCCCAAAACACAGTGCTGCCAGAGGGAATCCCATACCACCTACTCCCAAGCGAGACAAGCCTAAAAGAACAACCCAGCTACTACCATGGGCGTTTCATCTCTGTGGTGGCAATGGTGGTCTTCTATCCATTTCAGTAGCATGTCTTAAAAATCAGCTTTTACCACTTCCGGGCAGTGAGGGAAGTGCAGAGCCAGACAGCAACAGTGTATCTGGTGTTTAACACTTGAAATATCCACCCTGTCCTCCTGACACTCACCTCCTCTCATGAAGCCAAGAATACTTCGAAAACACTGAAAAGCACAATGGAAAAGATGACTTCTGTGGTTGCTTTTAGAAAAAAGTAATCCAGCAGCCTGGGTGTTGTCATCAGCACTGTAGCAGCATATCACCACATGATGATGGGCTTGGTCAATATGTCCTGGTAAGGCTAAAGACTGGATTGAGATCACCAAATCAGTAAGGTTTATTTGCTCTGTTTCTTGGAGAAAATTTTAAAACCAAATTCAAAAATTCACAGTGTCGGGTAGAAAAATTTTGCCTACAACAGAGCTTCCAGAAAAGCAATTTTGCAGGCCAGGAAAAAGCAAGTGTCAGTACTGGCAGTCATACACTTGCTTCTCTGCCTTGTGGAGAGCCATTATGCAGTGTTTTCTAAAATTGTAAATGTTCTTTTTGGCTCACAATGGGAAACAACACTAATATGCATCACAGGGCGTGAGATAAAATGTGCGGCGCTATTGTTGCCTTTGATTTGTCTTCCATTTATATCAGCTCTCAGTAAGAATTACACAAAGACAGAGCTGCAGATTTTTCTTCTCAACTTTTTCACATTTCATCCTTTGTTTGGTTCATAAATTCCAGGGTCTAACTAGGATGTTACATCAGAGACAGGAATTTACATTTAGATAAAAGAATGCAACAAATACTAACAACCATAATCCTCTCGCCTCCAAAAAGCTCCAGAGTACTTCCCAACTATCATCAGCTTTGTAAAGCAGGGATCTGACTTCCTTGTTTAAGCTCTCCTTGATTTTAGTGAGACTTGTTCCCTGTACTGCTCCGACGTAGTCTCCAGCTATAGAGATAGCTCCAGTTTGTAATCTGGGAAAAAGCCTGGGAAAAGACCCTGAGCACATTAGGGGAGTGTGATAATTACAAGAGGATGGCCACTTAGTTCCTTGCAAGTTATCTAAAAAAAAATAGGTAGCAGACACCCCCAAGAACAGCTTTCTGATTGCAGGTCACTTAAAAGAGACAGCTTTTCTTCTTCAGGACCCTACACAGGGACTCACTAGTCGTGAGCACGCAAAAAGCCAGAAACGTGCATAGGAGCCACAATGAATTGCTCTGGAGAAGTCCTCAGGTAGGTTCATCAACTCTAACATCTATCAATGTTAACATCCAGGTCCAGTGACTTACCAGATTTGCAGCTCAGTCTACGTGGAGGGTGCAAGTCCTGGGGGCTTTGTTGTCTCCCAAACAGCTTTATTCCTAATAACACTTGCCCTTATACCAGATCATACCCACTGTTTGAAGAGATCCATACTGCTGTTACTGGTCAACACTGGCAACTTTATAAGCAGAGGAACAAGGGGTCAGAAATTAACTCTAGGTTCCACACATGTCAGAGACTTATTTGTATCAAAAGGAAGTAAGTGCAAATAGCAAGTTAGACCAAGGTTGGCTTATGACTAGACCATTACTGTTATATTGGAAAAAAATTGGAACAACTCATTTGGAAAGCTGAGGCACATTTTTTCCTCCACTATCTTGCCTTCACTCAAATTATTGAAAAGTCTTCAAAGTCCTGTTATACCTCAAGGCACCAAATAGAAACTGGAGGCCAAAAATACAAACCACATAACATACGAGTCTGAACAAAAGTCTTTCAGGAAAAAAAAAAGGGGGAGGTGGAAGGAAACTTTCAGTTTTGTCTCAATATGCTTCCTATCAGAGAATGTGCTTTCAGAAAGACCAGGATTTTTCCCTTTAGCACTGGTGATCATATCTCCTCTCTCCATCAAACACTCTTCTAACAGAGAGGTTGTTCTAGATGCCAGCAGACTTAGGTCAGTATTTTCAAAGAATAAATTACTAACATTAGGAACTCTTTAAAATGGAGTTTTAGAGCCTGACTTTCAAAAGCTCCAAGTGCCCAGCAGCTCTAGCTGGCTTCAAAGGGTCTCACTTTGTAAGATGTTTGGGATGTGCTCAGCATTTGTGAAAATCAGGCCACCTATTTGGGATCCTAAACACAGACTTAAAAATTCAATGCCAATTCTCACTGCACTAGGGATGACACCACCTTTCTGACCCATGCTTAGAAAGCTCAGTGACATTATAACTAATAATATGGCTTTTGCCTTCTTTCTGCCCACAACAGAATTTACAGAACCACTAATAAAACCGGTGTCTATCATGAAAACTGGCAGGCACTTTGAGTCTAACAAGATAACTATAATTTTCCTTGAAGCTATTGAGCAAGTCTATAACA